TCAAGAGATCGAGACCATCCTGGTCAACATGGTGAAACCCCGTCTCTACTAAAAATACAAAAAATAAGCTGGGCATGGTGGCGCGTGCCTGTAATCCCAGCGACTCAGGAGGCTGGGGCAGGAGAATTGCCTGAACCCAGGAGGCGGAGGTTGCGGTGAGCCGAGATTGCGCCATTGCACTCCAGCCTGGGTAACATGAGTGAAACTCCGTCTCGGAAAAAAAAAAAAAATTCACATGCAAGACATTCTGTTCTATCTTCTCTTAATACTTTCCTCCCTTTAGCTAAGAATTATTGAGTGCCAACTATGTCCTGGACACAGTGCTAAAATTCTTGCAATAAGATACAGAGACCCCAGCAGTGATTCTCTGCCGGGGCCCATGGCTCTCAGGGGCATCCTTCAAATTCAGGCCCATTTGGTTCTTTAAAAATAAATTTCCAGGCCAGCCCTTCCGCCACGGTCGCCATTGGAGAGTAGCAGCCATGGCTCTTCGGTATCCTATGGCCGTGGGCCTCAACAAGGGCCACAAGGTAACCAAGAACATGAGCAAGCCCAGGCACAGCCGCCGCTGCGGGCGTCTGACCAAACACACCAAGTTCGTGCGGGACATGATCCGGGAGGTGTGTGGCTTTGCCCCATACGAGCGGCGCGCCATGGAGTTGCTGAAGGTCTCCAAGGACAAACGGGCCCTCAAGTTCATCAAGAAAAGGGTGGGGACACACATCTGGGCCAAGAGGAAGCGGGAGGAGCTGAGCAATGTCCTGGCCGCCACGAGGAAAGCTGCTGCCAAGAAAGACTGAGCCCCCTCCTCTGCTGTCTCCCTGAAATAAAAAACAGCTACACCCCCCCCCAGCAAAAAAAAAAAATTTCCAGTTCCTCTCAAAATTGTCATGACTTTATCTCCTTGATGTGAAGCTTTGTGTCGGAGGTTTGTGGCTGCTGACGACGTTCTCTGGGCCCTGAAGTCACTGCTGCTGGCTCTTGTATGCTGGCCACTTGGTTGCGCTGCCCTGCCTCCCACCGGCTGGACATCCAGCAAGCTCTGGATGCTGTGTATGACAAAGCCATAGGGGTTGTTTGGAGTCTGTGATGTGCTATCATTCTCCAGATAATGGTTTTCTGCAAGGAACTAGAGAAACAGCTATCTCAGACTTTCCTAATAAAAACAGGTTTTGAGCCAGTTCCAGGCTGGCCCTAAATTCCTCTTCCCAGCAATGTGAAGCCCGGGGAGCTCTGGTGGGCCTTGCCCTCGGCAGCCCTCACACCTGGTCTCTGTTCCCCAATTCCTGTCCAGTAGAGGCACTATTGGAAGTGCCTGTTTCTCAGCCTCTCTGCTCCTTCACTGGAACTGGGCAAAGCCCCTTGGGAAACGCAGCATTCTTCTCCTAGATTTTTTTTTTGGTGTGCTTGGGAGGTGCGTTGTGCCACTGCCTGGCCCACCTGGCCTGCCATTAACAGAAGGGAAGCACGAACGGCCTTTGATGTGGGAGTTACGGCTGCTGAGAGCGCAGTCTGTGCACAAGTGATGTAGCCTTGTGGGATCCCTGAGTACATGCTTGTTTTCATTCATATTTTACTCAAAGTCACTGAGCTCCCACTGCATGCTTGTGAGTCAGATATTAGTCCTGGGAGGATTATCTGAGATGACATTTAAGCCAAGGGTTTAAGAACAAGTCATATTCAGCCAAGTGCAGACTAAGGGAATGCAAGTTCCAGGGGAGGGGAAAGCATGTGGACATGCTGAGATGCAAGCAAGGCCTCACAGCTGGAGTTGGTGTTACCTGGCCTGGGAACACCTTTATTTTTTTTTATTTTTATTTATTTATTTTTTTTGAGACGGAGTTTCGCTCGTTACCCAGGCTGGAGTGCAATGGCGCGATCTTGGCTCACCGCAACCTCCGCCTCCTGGGTTCAGGCAATTCTCCTGCCTCAGCCTCCTGAGTAGCTGGGATTACAGGCACGCGCCACCATGCCCAGCTAATTTTTTGTATTTTTAGTAGAGACGGGGTTTCACCATGTTGACCAGGATGGTCTC